GCCCGGGAGGCCAGGTGGGGACAGTGATGGGATGTGAACCCAGGACCACCTGGGCCACCCTCCGGAGGCCGTCCCCCACCCCGTCCCTCCTTGGCTTCTGCCCTGCCCTCAGGTCAGGTCCACACCAGCCCTGTGCTCCGCCAGAGGGCATCTCGGGGGTGGACCCGGGGCGGGATGTCCCGGCCCCGGCCCTCAGGCCGCCGGTGTGTGTAGGGGTGACCGCCCCCAGCCTCACTTGCAGCCGTCCCTCTGGGCTGCGCTACAAGCCCCCCCCGCTGCAGGAGAGGACTTGGGGGCAGGGCACACAGCACTCGGGCGCCACTCTGCGAGTGCAGAGGCCCCTGTGCTGAGGGTCCGGCCCTCCCTGCTGGCCTGGTGGCCACTTCCAGCTCAGGCTGTCCCCTCGCCCCGTGAGGTGCCAGACCGACAGGAGGCAGGACTGTGCGGGCCACAGGCGAGGGCCCGGGAGGCTGACCCGCCACGCGAGGACGGTCACCGAGTGAGGACGGAGGGCCAAGCAAGGCAGCGTCCGAGAAGCCACGCGGGAGCCCTGGTCACTGTTGCGGGAAACCCACAGGCCAGGGTCCTCCCACGGGCGGAGCGAGGCTTTGCCCGCCCCCCACTCGGCCCCGTTTAAAGTTCGCGGGCAGCGCCTGGCGCCTTCCCCGGGGCTGCGGGCAGGACAGGCAGCACGCCCTGCGTGGGCTCAGTGGGGGGCCCACTCCCGGTGCCCCCCCCCAGGGACCGGCCTCTCCCCTCCTCCGGCCCACGCCACGACAGCCACGCGTGCGCGAGCATGTGCACTCGTACCGTGAGGCCTGCACACGGCTTGCGTTTACATGCACGTGTGGCTGTGCAACGCACGCACACAAATGTCCGTGGCCGTGTGTGCATGTGTGTGGACACACGTGCATGTGTGTGGTGTGGGTGTATAGACGTGTGTGCACACACATGCACATAGGAAACACTGCTCTTGGTGTGTGCACATGAGATGTGTGTGCACACAGGCACACACCAGCACATGCGTGCACACATGGGTTGGACACACAGGTACATGCCAAAATACCCGCTCTCCTAGAATTAGCAGTGACGGAAGCCCTGGGGGGTACGGGGTGAGCCAGGGCCCAGACAGACCGCAGGGGTGCCCTGCCCACCCCTGGCCCCCCGTGGCAGAGCCACAGGGTCTCTGACCAGGGCAGAGGTCAGAGGTCCAGCTCCGTGCTCCTAGGTGCCAGGTGGTGCCGGAGCTCAGGCCCGCCCCTCACCAGGCCGGGTGACCACTTGGTCTAAAAATGGGCACCTGCCTCCCTCCCAGGCTCTTAGGATGCGGGAGGGGGCCTGGGGCAGGTGGGCACAGAAGACACCCCGCCCCCCATGCCAGTTCCGGAAGCTTCTGGAACGAGGCTTCTGGAGGCACACAGATGTACTGGGACCCAGCGGTGCTGAGGCCCAGAGCCTCCCTGGCTGGGTCCTGGCTCCGGGAGAGATGAGGAGGCACCTTCCCAGGACCCAGCACCAGCGGGGGCTGCAGGGGGCAGAGGCCTCCCCAGACTCCGCCCTTGGCCAGGGTGGGTGCAGACCACGCTGGCCGCCCCAGGAGGTGGGGACACAGGGCTGCAGGGACCACATGTGACTGGGGGTGGGGGAGAGCTCAGCACCTTCCGGTCAGCTCTGGCCTCCAAGGGCCTCGTCGATCATGTGACCCCCACCCTGAGCTGGGGGGTTGGGGCCAGGGGAGAAGTCCTGCGTCTTTTCTCCTTTGGGCTGTGGGGAAGTGGCCTGCCCCACCCCCTCAGGGCTGGGGGAGCTGCTGGCTGTTCTTCACGCCGTCCCCACCTGGGGCTGCAGGTGCCACTGGCCGTGGGCACTAAGGAGGTCAGCCGGGGGTACCAGCCCCGCCCCACGGCCCCCTCTGTGACCCACATTGCCTGCCTGTCCCACTCCGGGCTCCGTGGGAGGGCGTGCTGGGTGTGATTCTGGGAGTGTGGGCGGCGTGGGTGTGTGCTAACTGACCTCTTTACACACACACACACACACACACACACTGGCATGCCGTCCTCTCCACCACCCTGGGGCACACCCCAGGCCTCTGGGCCGAGGGTCTGGGTTGAGCGGGAGGCACTGGGCAGCCCTTCCTGGTCTGGCCCGTGGTGCCCTGCCCAGCAGGGGTCTGTTCCCCAGCATGGCTCTGTCACCCGCCGCTGTCCACCAGCTCCCCTGGGAGGCCTGCCTGCCACGGTCCCTCCCACCCCCAGGCCCTGGGGGCTGGTCCCGCGTTGTAACCGGGACCCGGAGGAACACAGGCCGCAGGAGTAGGGAGCCTGGCCAAAGGCCCCAGTTCATGACCTGCAGAGGTCGGAGCTGGGGTCGGAGCCTGCCCCGCCCAGCAGCAGTCACGCCAGGACCCCCGTCACCCACCCAATGTCAGCATCACCCCGCCCCCCAAACACCAAACACCGTCAGCACCACAGCTACCGTCTCCACACCTCCACGCTGCCCCGCCGTCCTCCTCGGGCCCAGCACCACCACCACGTCTCCATTCCCATCACGCCCCGCGTCACGGCGCGGGGAGGAGGTCACTGCGGCGGCCAGCACCCCCCCACCCCCCGCAGCACCGCCGTGCCGGCCGCCAGCGACTGCCCCTGATGGCGGGTCTCAGGCACTCGGTCCCTCTGGGCACCTGCACCGGGGGCCCCGGGGGCCTCCCCCTGCGCGGCCAGCACCCGCCCCCGCCAGCCCCCACCCCCAGCCCCGGCCGTGGGGGCTCCGCTGCCCCAGCCTGCGTGCCTGCAGCCCCAGGCCGCCCCCGCGCCCCCTCCCCTTCCACGACTGAGCGCTAATGGAACCTGGCGGCGGGCTGGGCTGGGGTTTTGTTGCCTGTTTATTTTTCCCTCTTTGCGTGTAACTCCTTCTTTTTTTTCTCTAATTGGGCGCTGCGCGGGAATTCGCCGCTCCCCTCCCGGCGCCCGTTCCGCTGGCGCTCCTCTGGGTGGCCCCAATTACCTAATTTGCGATATTTCATCTCCCCTCCCTTTCATCTCTCCCCGAGCACCCCGGCCGGTTAGAGTAAATATGTATTTTTAATTTTGAGGAGCCTAATTTAATCTGGCAGCAACGTTCCGCCGTCCGCCGGCACGCAGCTCCGTCGGAGGCGCATTCCGGGCCACCAGGCACGCCGGCCACCTGCCCGCCCACCCGCCAGCCCTGCCGGCCGACCGAGCGGGAGTGCACAGGCCCTGCACCCCGTGAGGCAGGCCGGGCCAGTGGACAGGGCCAGAGCCCAACAGTGTCCCTTCCAGGAGAGGCCACAGGACATGGCCACGGGGTCTTGCAGGGCCCAGCTGTCCACTTGAGCGTCCACGTCCCAGTGCCCCGTGCAGGGACGAGGGAGGGTCTGTGGACGGGCGGGGGCCCAGCAGGCAGCTGTTCCCCCTTCCCGGTTGGCACAGGGCATACCTCCACCCCTCACCTCCTTTGCCTGGCCAGCAGGGTGGGCGCACGTCCTCCTGCCCCTCTCAGAGGCCACTGTCACCTCCCTAAAGGCCACAGCCCCAGCCACCTCACCATCCGTACACGGGCCCCAGCCTGTCGCTCTGCCCTCCCCCTGCCCCAAGCTCCCAGCCCTGGCCGTGGGCGCCACACCTGGGCCCACGGGTCCACAGGTAACGGAGCTCTGACGCCAGCACGGGCCAGAGGCTGTGGGGGTCTCTCCTGCTGGTGCTCACGGCGAGGTCCTGGGCCAGGCCACGCCCAGACGACAGCCTGGCCTCCACGGCGCTCCAGGCCCTTTGCGCCAACCTGTCCCGGCCCACCGGTCCTTTGTCCCGTTCCCTCCCGGCCCCCAAGGCCAGTAGGAAGGGTGGAGGGACGGGGACGACCGGCGGGCACACGGCCTCACCCGTGCAGCGGGCACGGCTCTGAGCCCTGCCCGGTGACAGCTCACTTAGCGTCTGAGCCTCCCTGGCACCGGGGCAGGGGTGGACAACGGGAAATGGCACCGTGGCCAGCCCACGACGGAGGGTCTGGGCGTCTGCGTCCCTCCTAAGGGTTTAGGGAACCAACCCCAACCTGCCCCAGGAGGAGGGCCTGCCCGCCTCCCTGTGGCGCTGCCACCTGCCGAGCGCCCAGCGAGGGCTCCAGTCGGGTGACCCTCAGGAAGTTCCTCGTGTGGCCACCGCTCCCTGCATGGGAGCTGGACCGGGGGGCAGCCATCAGGGGCCCTGCAGAGGCTTGGGGGTGGCGTTCAAACTCCCCCGGGATGCAGCAGGGTGAGCAGGACGCTGGGCCCAGGAGGACAGGCCCCAGGGCCGGCTCCGCTCCGCCTGGTCGTGTGGTCCAGGCCCTGGGTGCCAGGTTGTGCGCACACCTGTGTGTGTGTGTGCTTGAGTGCACATGGGTGTCTGAGTTTGTGCGTGTGCACACGCGTGCTCACCCAGAAGCTGAGGTCTGAGGCGTTTACAGCCCAGCGGTGGACCCGGCACTAACCAGGGGCAGGAGTGGTCAGCCTGGCCCAGGACACGGGAGGGTAGAGGGGCAGAGCTGCAGAGCGATGGGGGGCTCCTGGGGACCCAAGGAGCTGAATGCTGTGTCTTCCTGTGTCTCCATATCCGGACTCATTCGGACACCCCCTCGACCCACAGGGCTGAGTAAGGCGGTCCCTGGGCCCAGCCGGAGCTCAGGGCTGAAACAGATGATGAAATAAGGGGCCCAGGCCCCGCCCGGAAGAACGGGGAGCAGTGGGCACGGCCAGAAGGGGCAGCCTGGAGGGCAGGCTGTGGGACAGCACGGAGGAAGGAGCGTCTCCCCACCCGCCCAGAGCTCCGGACTGGGGAGGGGACGGCGGAGTGACCGCTGCCGAAGGGGACAACAGCAGGTCCACCTGCCGCTGGCTCGGGAAGCATCGAGAAAAAGTCACACAGGTTCTCGTTCCTGGGGCTCTGATCCATCCAAGCCGGGCAGATCCATTCTCCTAACATCCTTGAAATCACCTTTGTCACCACCACCACCACCACCATCACCACCACCACCACCACCACGATCACCACCACTATCACCACCATCACCACCACCACCACCACCATCACCACCACCACCACCACCACGATCACCACCACTATCACCACCATCACCACCACCACCATCACCACCACCACCATCACCACCACCATCACCACCACCACCATCACCACCACCACCACCATCACCACCATCACCACCACCATCACCACCATCACCATCATCACCATCATCACCATCACCACCACCATCACCACCACCACCATCACCACCACCATCACCACCATCACCATCATCACTATCACCACCACCATCACCACCACCACCACCATCATCACCATCACCACCACCACCATCACCACCATCACCACCATCACCACCACCACCACCACCACCATCATCACTATCACCACCACCATCACCATCACCACCACCACCACCACCATCACCATCATCACCATCATCACCATCATCACCATCACCACCACCATCACCACCACCACCATCATCACCATCACCACCATCACCATCATCACCACCACCACCATCACCACCACCACCACCACCATCATCACCATCACCACCACCACCATCACCACCATCACCACCATCACCACCACCACCACCACCACCATCATCACTATCACCACCACCATCACCATCACCACCACCACCACCACCATCACCATCATCACCATCATCACCATCACCACCACCACCATCACCACCACCACCACCACCATCATCACCATCACCATCACCACCACCACCACCATCACCACCATCACCACCACCATCACCACCACCACCACCACCATCACCACCATCACCACCATCACCACCACCATCACCACCATCACCACCACCATCCCGCCCCACTGGGTTCTGGGCAGGAAACTGTCCGAGTGGGTCGGGGCCGGCGGCTGAAGAGCCGAGGGCCCGGGCAGCCAGCTGAGAAGGGCCGGAGGGCACCGCAGGGCCCGGGCCCGTGCTGGGCAGCTGGGCTGGCTTGTCACGTCGCCCTGCGGGCTGACCCGCTGTCCCTCAGCCTCACCTCCCACCTTTAAGACGAGAAGCACGCTCCCTGACCTCTCTACTTTTTGATGTTATTTTCAGACACAACAATTTGAATATGTGAAGGTGTCGTGTCAACTGCAAGGTGCTGAGCGAAGGTCACACATTGCCGTCCCGCCCGGCCCTGTCCCGGCGACCACACACCCCACCCGCCAGGTCTGGGGAGGCTCCAGCTCCACACAGCAGCCCCAGGGGCTGGAGGATTGGTTCCACCTGTGACTGGAATGCAAACGATATGCAAATGAAATGCAGATTCCATCTGCCCCTGCCGGAGCCCCCAGCCTGCTGCCGGGCTGCCCCGGCCCACTGCTGGTTGCGAAGAGCGGGCCGGAGGTGAGGGGACAGGACCGTGGGAGTCAGCGGGGGCCGGGGACACGTGCGGAGAGCCGGCCCGTGACTCAACGCCGTCACCCGTCTCTGTTGCGCGAAATGTCAACATGTCTCTGCAGAGGCCCGAGCGTCCCCTCGTTGTCTCGGATGTCAGCCTCTGTCCCCGTGGCCCCTCACTGCTCCCTCCCGCTCCTCCCTCCCTCCCAGTCTCCCGGCGAGGCCCCCTCGGGGACAGAGACGAACGAAGAAGTGGCGTCCACAGTCCCCAGCCCACCCTCGCCTGCAGGACAGGGACAGGGTCCGGGAGGCCCAAAGGGAGGCCGTGCCCCAGGCAGAGAGCTCGGCGGACGGTGCCTTCCGGGGGCAGAAGGAGCCTGACTCGGGCCAGGGTGAGGCGGAGGGCGCCCGGGTGGGCCTCGCGCTGCGATGAGCGTGGGGTTTCTTTGGGAGGAAATGGGGGGTGGGGGGGCCTGAAGGCATGGAAGCCAGGACAGACTGGTTCTCACCTGCCACTCAAAAGGGTCAGAGTTCATCTTAACCGCCCTGAGGACTTGACCTGACATTCACTGAACGTGGAGGGAAACTGAGGCCCAGGCAGGGGCGGGACTCCCCGCCCCTCCTGCAGGTGGGCAGGCGGCGGGCTGATGGCTGTGAGGGCCCTTCCGTGATGCCCAAGGGTCAGCCCCTGCTCTCTCCTGCTGGGCAGGGTTTGGTGTGGACGCTCCGGGCCCCGGCCGCAGGTCCCAGGCTGGCCCTTCCTTGCTCTGGCTGGTCTGGGAGCAAAGCGGTCGCCGCTGGCCCCGCATTGCCGCCCAGGCCCCAGCCTGCCCTCAGCATCCTCTGGCCGGGGCGGCACATGCCGTGGGTGTGGCGGCTCCCGCGGCCTGAGCTCCACTGCTGGTCCCGCCCTGTGGGACCACAGCTCGGGTGGGGTGCAGGCACACGGGGGCTCCCTGTGGGCAGGCTGACAGAGACAGATGACCCCCAGGACGGCAGGGGCGGCTGGGACCCAGAGCGGGGTCAGTCCCCCACCCAGCCTCTGTCCCCCTCATGGCGGACCTCAGACCTCAAGGCCCACTCCAGACCGCCGGCCCCCGGGGCCCGAGGCTGCCCGTGAGGATCCCTGGTGTGGATGAGGCGTGTCTATTGCCCTCTGTGTGTCTGGCTGTCTGGCTGTCTGTCTGGCCACCCGCCCCCAGGCTGCTCTGGGCCCAGATCAGGCCGCCCGCTCAGGGAGAGCTGGGGACAGCGAGGCCTCCTGTTGAGGCCCTGGGCAGGGGACACACCAAGGCCTGGGGTGTGGCTGTGTGTGGCCACTGGAGCCGCCGCGGTGTGGCATGGGGGCCCCCAGGCCACCTTGGGCCTCTGCTCCGGTTGGCGCCCTGATCTCTCTGATTGCCTGTATTGATTTTCCCTGCGCTGTTTATTAAATGCTTACTCTCTCGCCACCAAAAGCTCTCAGAGCGTGCCCGCTATCCTGCTCAGCCCAGAGGACAGGCCTCGGAGGCCGCCATCCGCACCAGCCCGCAGTCCGCACAGCCTCGCCTCAGGAACCGGGGTGGGGGGGTCGGCCTGCAGCGGGCAGGGTGCCGGGCCCACAGAGGGGCCAGTGCACACGGGCCCAGCGATGCCCATCCCCGGGGTGTGACCAGGGCGCAGCAAGGGGCAGGGGTCCGGGCCAGCGTGCCAGGGTGCCGGGCCTCCCTGAGGGGGCTGCGAGGGCTGGAACAGTGCTTCAGGAGCTCCCGGCCCATGCCAGGGACCCTGCACCCAGCGGTCCCCCGTCCCCTCTGCCCTGCCAACCTTGAAGGCCCCCTCTGAAGGACCGGCCTGTGACTCTGGCCCCGCTCTGGCCGGAGGGGAGGCTCTGCTGTCAGTCCTGGTCCCTGGCCGCGCGACCTCGGCCCAGGCGCATGCCCACTCAGAGCCCGCGTCTGCGGCCTGGGGCCGGCGCCGCGCCTCGGGATGCTGGTAGTGGCCAGGGGGACGATGGAGGCCAGGCATGAAGTGAGCTTGGCCAGGACAGCCGCTCCCTCCAGCTTCGCCTCTGCAGGGCCCTGGAGGGCCCAGGGGTTCCCCGGCTGGCCGGCCCCGGCCCTGGGGGTGGGGGGGCATCCGGCAGCACAGGCCTCTCCCGCCCTGCGCTCCTCCCGCCCGCCCCCAGCAGGTGTCAGGAAAACCCGCCACCGCTGCTTCTCACCCGGGGAGCTGTGAGAGCCCACGGATGGAAATAGCCCGAAACTGCCCCAGCCTCCTGCTCCCCGGGGGTGCGCAGGGCCACTTGGGTTACATAAGCCCCGGGGCCGCGTTCCTGGGGAGCGGGAGCGGGGCGAGGACTCAGCAGCAGCCCCCCCCAACCCCGCCGGCCAGGAGAAAGGCCGGGGACACTGGGTCTGCCGGGCAGGCACCTGGTCGCTGGGGGCTGGGCGGACCTCAGAACAGGGGAGGACGCAGAATTCTCCGGAACACCACCAGGTCCCGAGTGCCCCTCCTCCCACAGCCTGCTTGGGGTCCCACCCACGGGGCCCGCTCCTCAGCCTCAGCCAGGGCCTGCGCCTCTCTGAGCCCCTCCCCTAAAGCGCAAACGCAGGCCCAGAGGGGACGGGGCAGCCGTGCCACAGACTTGGGCTCCAAGGGCCCAAGCAGGACCGGCTCGGCGTGTGGCCAGGGCCAGTGATTAATGGCTTCAAAGTCACTTAGAGGTCACGGCCGAGTCGAGGCCTGTGGTCAGGGACTGACTGGCGTACATCCATGAGTAGGTGACAAGGTCACGCTCCTTCTGGGACCGAGTGGCGAGGGCCCAGGATCTGATGTCCAGCCAGGTCCGGCTGGCCCAGCAAGGGACCACCGATGTCCCCTGCCCACACAAGTCCGCCCCAGGTTTCTTCGAGCCGTGGCCAGACCCCGGGTTTGGGTGGCGGACGGCACAGCGGTGAGGGTCCAGGTTTGAACCAGGGCCGGTGGGCGAGGGGCTGGGTGTAAACGGGTAGAAGTCTCGGGCACAGGGGCCGCGGGCTCAGGGTTCTAGAGTCCTGGCGTGTCTGGGCTGCAGGAGACCTTCCAGTCACAGAGCTCAGGCACCCGTGGGGAACCGAGACTGCGTCCCGCCGGTGGGCCCATCGGGCGCTCACGGGTTCCCCGGCACTCAGCCAGGAGCCGAGGGTGGGGTCAAGGGGCAGAATCCGGCCCCCCGCCCCGTCTGGTCAGGGGCCCAGCTGACTCTCCTCCCTCCTTAGGGAGGAGCCTGGGGGCAGGGCTCCTCTGCCTCTCCAAGAAAAGGTTCTGGACGGGCGACTGGGGCAAGGGGACAATTTTGTACAAGAGGCAGGTTGGGAGGGAAACGAGGAGTCTCCGGAGCAGGGAGGAGGAAGGCGTGGCCCCGCCGAGAGGCCCCAGTGGTGGGAGACGCGGCCTTGCCGGGGGCGGGCTGACTGGAGGGGCCGCAGCCTCGCGGCGCGACCCGCAGCCGAGGAGCCGGGGATGGCGGCTCCCCTCCCCCACAGCAGCATCTGAATCCTGACTCAGAGCCCGCACCCTGTGCGCAGCCTCGTGGCCTGACCTCCGAGGCCCCCTGGCGGCCACCGGCTGCTAGTGCGGCCGGGAGGCCAGACGGGGAGGGCGGCTGCAGTGGGGCCCGGGGCCCTGGGCCCTGGAAGGGCCGGGAGGCATCCCCTCGGTGTCCCCCTCCAGACTCGGAGAACACAGCCCTCACCCTGGGGGGAGCCAGCAGGAGGAAGAAGGCTGCCCTGGAGGTGGGGGGGGGGACTGGGAAGGGCGCCCTCCCCAGCCTCCGTGGCCCTTCCGACCAGCCCCTCAAGACGCCCACCCCTCCAGGCCCTGGGCCACAAGCTGCCTGGCCAGGGAGGCTGGCTCAGGCGGAGCCCCACTCGACACGCGGCCAGGGCCTGAGCGCTGGGTCGACCTGGTCTCCCCCGTTTCACCCGCCGTGGGGGGCTGGTGCGGGTGGGGTGCTGGCCCAGGCGGGGGTGGGGTGCTGGCCCAGGCGGGGGTGCGGGGGTGAGGGCGTGGCCCCGGTCGGGGGTTCCCTGGACAGGCAAGGGGAGACGGGATGCAGGTGAAGGCTCACGTCCAGGCGGAGGGTGGTGACAGTGACCGGGAGCTGACGTCTCACGGTGACAGCGGAGACGCCCGACGGTGCCCCCCGCCGAGTCAGCCGAGACAGCCCACAGCTGGGGCAGGCGTGGGCCCCGGGCAGCGGGGGCCTGGGCGGGCCGCGGAGGTCAGTGTGTGCTGTAGTGGCTCTCCGGGCCGCGGCGAAGCGGACCCCGTGTTCACAGCGGGCCACGCGGTGTGGGAAAGGAGCCAGGGGCCGGCGGCAGGAGCACCTGTGCGAAGGAGGAGCCTGAAGTGGCCTCCCTGGGGCCCTGCCTCCCGGGGTCCGGGTCTCATCAGGGAGAGGGACCCTCGGAGGGAGAGGGCCTGTGGGTGCTCTCAGGAGGGGGCGCCGCGGCTGCAGGGCCCTCCACGCCGGCGTGTGGAAAACCACCGGTGGGGCCGGGTGTCCCCGCTGTCACCGAGTCAGAGAGGATGGTGGTCACGGGAGGGTGGGGGCGGGGGTGGGGAGGACGGCCGGGGACCGTCACGCGGGGCGGGTGGCGGGCTGGGCCTCGGGGCTCCTCTCCTGGGCTCTTCCCTCGGGGGCTTCTCTCCTGAGCCCCCCGAGGCGGGACCGGACAGACCCAACCTGGGCAGCTCCGGTGGGCCCTTCCCGCCCACCAGCCCGACCCCCCGGACGGGCTCTAACTCACTGGCCTGCGCCCGCCCCACCTCCCACCCGCTCCTCCAGCCCGGCCTGCCCCTTCCGTCCGTCCACCCAGCTGCCCTCGCCCCCCAGGCCTTCGCCACTTACCCCCGCCTGTCCTGCCCGTCCTCACTGCCACTGTCCTCCGACCACCCTCCCACACTGATCCGACACCCCGGCCCTCTCTCCAGGCCCCTGTCCGATCTGTCCGTCTGTCCGTCCACCCATGCCCCCCCACACCTCCTCCCTCCACACCCACTTACCTCAGCCATCCGTCCACCCGTCCCTCCCTTCTATGCCCCTGTACTGCTCATGCACCCCTCTGTCCTTCCCTCCACCTGTCCGCGCGTCTGCCCGTCCGGCCCCCGCGTCCCATCCCTCCGCCAGGCCGCCCATCCATCACGCAGCCAGCGGGCAGCCTGTCCTCGGCTCCTGGAGGAGGCAGAGAGCAGAGCCCCAACTCCTGGCGCTCCTGCTGCCTGGGGCAGGAGCCGGGCTTTCCTCCGCGTGCGCGCGTGTGTGCGTTTTATCCGCCCCCCCCCTCCGTTATCTCGCTCCCCTCCCCCACACCCCGCCCCCCGCTCGCGCCCCCCTCTAACGTGCGATCTGGAAGCTCTATAAAGCCTGATGTAATCCGTAATGCGGTCTCTGGCTCCCGATTCGGGATC